GATTAAGAAATAGATTTTTTCAACCTCCTACATTTCAAATATATGTTGGACAACTGAACAAGACTATATTTCTTAAATCATACGAACAAAATGGTCATAAAAACAACAACCAAAGCAACAAAAAATGAATTTTCACTGAATGTTAACATTACATATACATTTTCTCAAAATTAAGGCTTTTTGGGTTTGTTAATTTTCTTTCTAAAACAATAAATAATAGGTATAATTACACTATTATTTTTACATCTATAGAACGATTTAATCTTCATTAACCCAAGAAAAAAACTAAGTATTGTTTCAAAATTGTAAAATCTCTTAAAAAACTAACTTACTCATTTTAAATCGAACACAATCTTCACTTCAAAAAGAGGAAATGGTCACGATCGAAGATGAGGAGAAAGATAAGATAATGGAGGAGAATATTTGTTTTGGTAGTTGAATTTTCAGATTTTACGAGGAAGAAGAAGAGAAGAGAGAATATTGGGAGAAGAAGAAAAGAAAATTCTATTTTCAATTACTTTTTTTTAAAAAAAATGATTTGGATAAAATTATAAAAAATTGAAAAATAAAATATTTTTTTTGTATTTAAAAAAGATTAAAATATTTTAAAAATATTTATTTGATTCCAAATTTACTTAATTTATTTTAAAGAGGATAATCAATCTGTCACAAAAAATCAAACCAAGAGTTATTCGACATCTATCATTTAATTTTCTCAAAGCCGTTTCTTATAGATTATTATTATAGATTAGGGGTATTTGTTTTCTTTTTTCATTTTTTAAAAGCTGCTTAGTAATGTTTATTTTTTCAATCGACTCTTTAGAGCCCACGCCACCTCACGAGTTCCTTCGCTGTCAGCATCAGTCCCCTTCGTCGTCTTCATCATCAGTTCATCTCCATCGCCGTCCGTATTCTCCACGGCGAATCATCACTTCTCTCTTCCTTTTTCCACCACCGAAACTAGCAATCTCCGCCACCTAGCTATTCTTCCAGCAAATTAAAGGACGCCATCCCCTCTTCATCTCTATCTGCGGTGAATTTCATCTTTTCCCGCGAAATCGACTTGTAAGTTTCCCTATTTGTCCTGCTTTGACAAAAAAATATTTTTTTTCATTAGTTGATGTTAGGAATTTCACAATTTATCAAGAGTTACATATATAAAGTTATTTATGGGATGATCGCTGAATTGAATTAGTTTATGAATTTACATTTTGCATAAATTGAAAAATGTGAGTAATTTCTGAGCTCAATAGGCTTATGTTCATGAATCTGTCCTATTTTGTTTGTTAGGATTACTATTTAAGGAGTCAAATAGTATTTTCTTCAATGATATTCTAAATAATTGCAATTGTAGAGATTATGATTAAGACTGGGCAACGGGACAACCTTAAATTTTAAATGGAAAATTAAAACGGCTAGTTTTTTTGTTGTATTAATTAGAGTTGTGTGTAAAAATTTTATAATTACAAGTTTACAACTTACAAATATAATCTGAGTATTTGAGAGAATATATAATTCCAAATTACATTCATATTTATAACTTATATCATTTGGTCATTTGGTGTATTTCGGAGGAGGAATCTTCTTCAAATTTCAAGTTTCGACATCAATATTTTAATTTTCATTATAATCGTTTGTTCTTATACAAACGTTTGGTAACTTCGTTCCACTCTATAATCTTATATTTATTTTTTGTATTTATTATTTAACTTGTACGTTGTTCTTGTTATATTATTGTTCTTGTTAAGTTTCGTATTTTATAATGGGATAATACCCATGTACCCCCTCAACCTATGCCCGAAATCTCAAAGACACACTTATACTATACTAAGGT